AGAAAGTGTTTCCACTTTGGCTCCCTCTCATCTCTGATCACGAGTTTGACCTTACTTAGCTTCATTATCTCTATGCCGTTCAGAAAGGCAGACTTATAAGTTGAATCTTGAAGTGGCCTAACAGTGACATTCATGGCACCTGAAGAACCAGAATTGGCCAGGTAATCAAGGTAAAATGGAGTTTTCTGAGAAAAAACTCTATCATATGGACTCACAACTTTAACAAACTCCTCATCCACAAACAAATCGAACTGAGTATCGTTCCGAGACGGGCTGACAATGTCAGAGAAGTGCAACCTTATAAAGTATGAAGAATTCGTAATCACAGGAAAACACCATGTTATATTAGTATTATTTTGACTTTTGCTGTCAATGGTGATCACTCTGGCAGTAGTGTAAACAGGATCAGGGGCATCATATGGAGTTGCCCATTCTTGGGCGTAGTAGGGTTTATCAACATCATGCTTAATCACAGTCCTTGATTGCGGGAAGAGCAGGTAGTCATCATCGGGCTCCCAATTTCTCCACAAAGAATCATTCTTTTCAGTAATTCTTGGACCCCCAACATTAATTCTATAAATCACATCTAACAAATTCGATGACAAGCTACCGACAATGTTCATCTTGTTTACTCCGACTGGAATAGCCTCATCGTCGATGAAGCTATCCGGGGCTAGGAAAGCCTCAATCGCATTCACGAATGCAAAAGATGATTCTTTAGAAGGTATGAAGTAAATCGTCAGCCTTTTGTCATTCACCCAGAGTAAAAACTCCTTTATAACAGGAAATTTGGAAGTGGGTGATCTCCCGACACTGAAATTCGACAAGAGCGAAAACCCAGAAGCGGAAACATGAAATTCAGCCTCCGAGAGATTCAGGGAGGAAGAAAATGGGTAGAAATGGAGGCGTACCATGTAAGGACCGCTCTGATCTGCCTCGAATTCATACCGAGAACTCCTGCCCTTGAAAACTCTCGCAGTTTTGTATAAGGAAAATCGGGACGGAGGGAAACTCGGATCTTCGACCTGAGTACTGTCTCCGGTGAAGAAGTCGTCGCCGGAGAATGTCCTCTGGGTGTCTGGGACCGGTGAGTGTGAGCCGCAGTTGATGAAGTAACGGTCAGGTGGACTGTAAGCTTGGGAGTGAAGGGGGAAGGAAAGGATAATGCAGAGCAGATGAAGTATAAACGGAGAGAGAGTCATTATCATCCCGGAAAGGCGAAAGCTTTCCATGGATGGATGATAATGGCGGTTTAATGACAGTGAAGAGTATGTGGAATGGCAATGAGAGTAGAAAAGCTAAGATGCAGACATGGACTTCATTTTGACGTGCAGATCTTGCCACTCACTGCCTTTGGTAAACCGACTTTATTGAATATTACAAATTTATTATTCCCATTATGAAAACATGAGTCTTTTTTTACAATTTCAAAATATTTTTGCTCAGAAATTTTCTTAAAATTTTCCAAACCCGGTTAATTATAGAGTAGGACAAAAATATATTTACAAAACTTCAAATGATGGTTTAACTTAGTGTATTTATTTTTATTTTATACTATCTCACTCCCGGTAGACTTTGCCAAATTTGAAGCAGGTGATAAATAAGAAAAATAAAAATTGTATGATTTATGTTTGCGCAGATGAAATAGAAGTACATAAAACAACAAATTAATTAATTTAATAAGAAAATAATAAAATTTTTTGGGAGAATAAAAAAGGCAAAGTTGACGAAAGAAAGAGATTACTTATATACGTAGTAGCTACTAAGCTAGGTAGGTAGGGTTGGACGAGAGCTATTACTAGATTTCCCTATACGACGCACAGTCACACTATGAGTGAGGAATAGTGTACGAAAACATCGAATAACTTGAAGATATGTTTGTCTATCCCAAATCTTAAACAAGTGAACATATATTGGTCAAATATATAACGGTCTCTACAATCTCAGACCTAGAGCCCTAAAAAACGTTTGCATCGTAAATTATAAGACAATATACTTAAACATCAACATCATATCTTCCTATTACTCCCTCTTGGATTTTGTCTCTTTTTCTTTCTTTTAGTTTGTCTGTTCATGTTGAAATCCAATATTAGCAAAATATAAGGTAATAAAGTGCTATATTAATAAATTCTAGATTACTCAACTTATAAAGTTGACTTTTAAGGATGAAATCACACGTCTTAACGGTTTCGAACGAAAACTTTGTTACTTTTCTTTTTATATAATGAATGAATATGTGGTTTAACTTATTTCTCTCTATTCTGCATAAAATCAAGGCCGGCCATGGAGTTATTTGACCTAGACAATGTCGCCCCCAAATTTTAGGGGGCCTCCAAATTAAACAATACCTTAAGTATTATAGTTTGTTCATATGTAATTAAGTTTGAATTCCCAAATAAAATCAACCAGATCCACTAAACCAGTAAGGACTATACATATATGTAGTCTATATTAGGGGTGGGCAAACAGGTCTGGAACCGTGGGTAGGGGAAGGGTAATAGCAGGTCGGGGCGGGTAATTCGTGGTTCTAATTTTAGGAAAAAGAAAACGGGACAGGCGGGTAATAATTAATATAGGGTCGGGCCGGTTACCATATTTCAAAATAACGGGTACCCGGGCCGGCCAGTCAAAATATAATTTATTTTTATTTTACCCAAGCCCGTTAAGTGAGTAAATCATTAAGCTCGCTGACCCGCCCCCTTTATCCTCCAAAAGAAAATCATAGAAGCCATGTGAGCGTGTTCCTCAATTTCTAAATCCTCAATTTTACCCAGGCCCACGAAATCCCTAGCAGAGTAGCAGTACGTGAATGGTCTTCTACACTTCTATTCTCTAATCTCTAGATCTCTGCTACAAAGAAATGCTATGGCATCAAGCAGTACGTGAGTCATGGCTTCTGAAGTTTGAAGGTTGAACACAGAGAGCCACAAACACTCCTCACTCCTAATACGTACGGAGTAATATTTACTCCCTCCGTCCCTAAATTATCTTCAAACTTTTCTTTTTGGTCCGTCCCTAAATTATCTTCTCTTTCCCTTTTTGGCAAAGGATTTGTGGTTCACAACAATTCTTACACATTTCTCTCTCCTCTGCACAACTCTCCACCACACAAAACCCACTATCTTAATCCCCGTGCCGGGTCAAAATGGGAGGTAAATTAGGGACGGAGGGAGTAATATTTTCTGTGAAAAAAAGGTTTGTTTATTCTTATTGAATTAGTTTTCCTTAACAGTGATTATGTTGCTGATTTTTGGAACTTCTTTGAATGTTTGGAACTTAAATATATGAAGCTATCAACTAGGACATGTCACTTGTGTTAAATGTGCACTTTCTTGCTCGTTGAGTATGTTATTATTTTGAGACTTTCCAATGCCCTATATTATTGCTTTTTGGAACATTGTAAGTTGTTACTATTTTTAAGAAATACAAACTAGGGGTGGGATTTTGGAACCGGGAACCGTAGAACCGATTGGAACCGAACCGTTAACAACATCTAGGAACCGAACCGTTAACAATTAATGCCTCATTTGTAGGAACCGAGCCGAAGCGGGTTATAACGGTTCGGTTCCCGGTTCCTATAAAAAATATGTGCATGGAACCGTTAAGGAACCGTTATTAAAAAAATAAAAAATAAAATAATATTAGTAGTAGTAGTAACAATAACAATAATAATATAATAGCAATAATAACCACCACCACAACAACAATAATAAAATAATATAAGATATTTAACTAACAATTCTAATTTAATCAACGGAAAAGAAGTAATAAATATTGTACATGAGGTTGATATATACATTAAACTCCTTTCTACAAATCAAGTTTTGTTCCATCACATAAATTTTATAAATATAAAATAACCCAAATAACTTGTAGTTGATTGCACATATTTTACTTTACTATTTTTATAATATTTCTAATTATTAGATTTATTATGAATCAATAGAATGTGATAATATTTTTTTATATCTATACATGCAAACTCAATGTCTTTTTTTTAATGTTTTGAAAGACTTGAAGTAGACGTCCTATTCTTGCTACTATGATGACGAGTAACCTTCATCGCTCCGACACTACAACGATTTTTAATGTTTCATTTATTAGATGAAAATTTAAATCACTTTTGTTCTATTAAGTGTTCAAAGTTCATTAGTTAAGTTTGAGCTTTAATGTTTGAAGTAATTAGAGCTTCAAATAAAATTTTAATACTCATGTTTTGAATTTTCGACGTGTTTAAAATTATGTGTTAATTCTTAGACGAGAAAAAATTATTCTAAGAACCGGTAAAAGGAAGAACCGAACCGTTTACTACCGGTTCGATTCCATAACGGTTCCTGATTTTTTATATAGGAACCGAACCGATTTCATTAGTTAAAAATTTTATAACGGTTCCACTCATTTTGAGTAAGAACCGAACCGGTCCCAGCCCTAATACAAACAGGAACTGAAAAACTCGAACCGGACCGACCCGTTTCAAACGGGTCGGGTAAGGTCCGATTCCTATTTTCAAAATTGCAATGCTCGGACCGGATTGGCCCGTACAATGGAACCAGTAGTTCCATTTTTTTGGCATTACCCGCCCTGATCCGGCCCGTGCCCAGCCCCAGTCTATATAATTTTAAATAAAATTGTAAAAGTTAAGGACATGTTTACTAACAGAGATATTTTCCTGTTTTCTACTTCTGTTTTCCGTTCTCCAATTTTCTGTTTTTATTTTTCAGTTTTTCTATCTCCAATTTTTTGTTTCTATTTTTTAGTTTTCCATTTTCAAATCTGAAAACATGTTCATCAATTTTTTTCACTCAGTTCTCCAATTCCACACCCTTGACCCCTACCCCTACCCTTACCACGATCTTACACTCTACCCATTCTCCCCCACAACCCTTCATACCCACCCATACCTACTCGTAGGGGTCGTGTTAGGGAAGTTATGGGTGGGGTGGTGTCACGCCCCGGACCTCCCCGGACACGTCAACAACCCGCCGTACAATACGAATAGTCAACCGCAGTCCAACACATTCATATTATACAAGGCGTCCCGAATATCATTCACACGTAAGCCATCCATAAACAAACATAATAAGTAATCGAATACATAGCGGAAAACATAGTTTGAAAACAAATGCCACACGTGGCTAACATGAGCACGCAGGCTCTATAGTAAAATATCCATGAGCATGTTTATAATTGTTTAAAACTGAATGGAGGAAGCACGAACCAAGTCTTCCCTCCTAGATGATCCCTCGAGCAACGGGCACAGGAAGCAAGCTCTAACCTCAACCTGAAAAATGGTGGTGGGACGCCCCCGAAGGGGTCAGCACTCTATACGGCTATAAAGTGCTGGTGTGGATGGCATCTAATAGATATACAACAAGTATTTCAAACACAAGACCCTCAAATAGGGTGATAGTATAATCTAGGCCGTAACCCCAAGTTACCCCTTTTTAAAAATATACTTACTTTATATATAAAGTCAAGTAGTCGGCCCGTAGGCCCAAGGTTTGTTTATCAAACATATCCCAAAATCCCGTGACCCCTAGTCACAACAATACATAGGGTTCAACCCTAACGCGTATGTTTGCATTCTCGAGTCCAACTCGACTACATCACCATGCACCTTAATTAACATAAGCTAACTACTCCACCGTGCATTTCTCGAGTCCAACTCGACTACATCACCATGCACCTTAATTAACATAAGCTAACTACTCCACCGTGCATTTCTCGAGTCCAACTCGACTACATCACCATGCACAACAATCACCTCATCATGTCTACCCAATGCAATTCTATGAGCACGGGCTCAAGTACATCTCCTTACATTGGCATAGACCCCAATTCCTAAGCACTCACTATGCCTAGAATTGTAATATCAATAATCTATTTTGGGACATCCCTACGGACTGCCCAACCATGGTCTTAGCATCACATTACATCAAATTTGTCACTTGCGTCACAATCAAGTACATCAAATATAATCAAATCCTTAGATTCAATTCCCTTAACAATTACAACAATCATTAACTAGTATTTCAATACTATTAAGATTATTCTTATCCATCATATATTCCATTTGTAAAACCCTACATATTTAGAGATATGTAGCAGCAACTTAATCATTCAATGTAATACATAAATAATCATTTATGTATCTACACAATTCACACATGAGTAAAATACCTATTTCACACAATAGTTCATTTAACTCCATTTTTGTCTATACTTTACCAAATCATTTCCCATTTCATTCTTTGGAAAATAGATCAATATTCCATCAATAATTTATCATCATAATCCATGGAAAACATTATTTAGGCATTTAGGTAATCTCATGCTTAACCTACAAGTTGTAAGCAACTAGATGTCGATCCTCACCTCAAATGAGCTTTAAAACTTTCCTTCTCGATCCAATGACCAAAGCCTCGGCTAAGGAAGATTGGGAACTAGTTCCTTACTTGAAAATGGGTGCTAAACAGCCTCCTCAAGTTGCTATTTCAAATCCGAATCGTTGATACGAAAACAGCCCCTAGAACGGGTGTTTTCCGGCTAACTCGATTCCTAGTTTTCCAATATTTGCATCTAGGTTAGTATCTAACCTTTACATCAACAAAATAACTTTATAAGGACATATTATACACTTGGATTAGTGTATAATAGTCCCACCAATCGTTCATATCATTTGGAGAATGAAAAGTAAAGTTTTGGGGGTTAAAACTCACTTTAGAAGAGTAGATCCGTCTCTGCGAGGTTGTGTTTTGCTCGGACGATTTGGAAGCCTTCCACTGCTCCGATTGATGCAAACCAGACCTTCACAGATTCCTCGTCTTGAGAGCTTTCTTTGGGTATCTCACACGCCTTAATTGGATTCGTATAACTCTAGATATCAACCAAACAGTCTCAGAACTCTCACAGCTCGAGTTTACAGACCACCACTCACTTCAGCTCGATTCTGGTAAGATAAGCTCTCTCTCCTCGAACAAAGACCACTCAATTGAGATACTAGACTTCAAAGGCTATCCAAGGACACCTTATACACCTCATTTGGTCGAGTACAACTCCCATAATGAGTGGAGACAACCAGCACACAATTTTGTGCGAAAATAGGGATGGTGGCCCAACATTTGATTCCTATCAAGTCTTGTGCAGCTCCTCTCCATGGTGGTCGGCCAAGGTAAGTTTCCTAACCCATTTTTATTTGTCTTGCAGGTACTAATATCATGTGGAGTGGTTCCCAATTGATCCCAATCATTTTGGGATCCAAACTACCTACCAATACTTCCAAAAATGGGGAAAATGGGTCCTATTGTTTTATCTTTGTCAAAAGATGTCTTTTTGTACTCATCCTAATTTATTTAGAACAAGTCAACTTCCTAAATCACATTATTGATCTCCAATATGTGTAGGCTCATCCCAATTATTTACATGATGGACATTATAGAAGGACAATCATATTCCCATTATTTAGCTCAATAATGTCAAAGATGGGATCATAGGCATTTGTATTCATCTCAAATCATCCTATCACTTATTTTGACATTTGTTATCCATATTATCGGGCTACTAGCCGTGTGGGTCGCCCCCGAGTGGGCCTACGACGCCGTCCTCGAATACTTGCTATTTTAGCGGGTTGGGCCCAAAATAATATCTGGGCTGCCCGCCCTTCTTCAACTTGTCCTGAAACGTTATGTATCGCTACTTAGATAATGTTAGGCTCTTTTATTTATTAATAAGGCCCAAATGAGTATTCACAAGCCCGACACTAATATGCGAGTTCGGACGGTATAATAATCGATCATTAATTACGTAAAATCATCAATCATTTACAATTGTTTGGGAATCAGAAATTCAATACGTAAACTTTGAATTTTTAACTTGAATTTTTTTCAAGGACGTTCGGGTGCAGTGTCACAAGTTCACCCCCCCTTAACAGGAATTTCGTCCCCGAAATTCACAGCTCTACTTGAATAGGAAAGCATACTGCTTCCTCATCAAAGCCTCTGTTTCCCATGTCTCTTCTTCGACCCGGTCGCTCTTCCAAGGTACTTTAACCATTGGGACTTCTTTACTCCTCTGTTTCTTCACCTTTCTTGCTGATGTTCTGCCTTAACTTGCTGACAAGTAAGGCATCGACTGATGTACTCGGCTATTTCCCTCTTCATTCCAGACCACCAGTAACTTCCTTTCAAATCACGGTACATTTTCGTGCCCCCCGGGTGCATGGCATAAGCCGATGAACGGGCCTCCTCTAAGATGGACTTTCGGAGCTCATCGTCTGACGGTACACACACTCGGTCACGAAATAACAAGAGATCATCATCTCTTTCCCTGAAATCCTCCACCGGTCCCGCTTGCATGTGTTCCCGGACCTTCATAAGTTCTGCGTCAGTCACTTGACCCTTCTTGATCTCATCAGGTAAGGTCGGTCTCACTGCAAATCGTGCCAATAAGGCACCGCCGCTAGATACATCCAATTGGGCCCTCGGTGCCCTCAAACTAGTCAACAATGCTCCAGACGAACTCTTCCGACTCAGGGCATTTGCTACAACGTTTGCCTTGCCTGGATGGTACTTAATAACTAGATGGTAGTCCTTTATCAACTCCATCCACCGTCTCTGTCTCATGTTTAACTCTTTCTGAGTAAACACGTACTTCAAGCTCTTATGATCAGTATATATGTGACATGTCTCTCCGTAGAGATAATGTCTCCAAATCTTTAGTGCAAACACTACTGCTCCCAGCTCCAGGTCATGGGTAGGGTAATTTACCTCATGCTTCTTCAACTGTCATGAAGCATAGGCAATTACTCTCCCCTCCTGCATCAACACACACCCAAACCCTTGGATGCTCGCATCGCTATAGACATCGTACCCCACACCCTGTTTGGGTAATGCAAGTACCGGTGCCTCGGTCAATCTTTTTTTTTTTGTTCCATGAACCCTTTCTCACATTTATCATCCCATACAAACTTAGCTCCTTTACGAGTGAGCTTCGTCAATGGTGATGCCAAAACAGAGAACTTCTCCATGAACTTTCTGTAGTAGCCTGCCAATCCAAGGAAACTACGAATTCCCTTGACGTTCTCCGGCCGCTCCCATTCAGTAATGGCCTCTATCTTCTTGTTATCAACAGCAATTCCCGATCCTGAAACCACGTGCCCGAGAAAGCCAATCTCCTTTAGCCAAAATTCACACTTGGAAAATTTGACATAGAGTTGCTTCTCCCGTAGTGTCTCAAGAACGAGTATCAAGTGCTCTTCATGCTCTTCTTCACTCTTTGAGTAAGTCAAGATGTCATCTATGAACACAATCACGAATCGATCCAAGTATTTATGGAATACTCGGTTCACCAAGTCCATGAATGCCGCTGGGGCGTTTGTTAACCCAAACGACATAACAAGGAACTCAAAATGCCCATACCTTGTGCGGAAAGCACTCTTTGGTATGTCATCTTCCTTAATCTTCAATTGATGGTACCCCGACCTCAAGTCAATCTTTGAAAACATGGTTGCTCCTCGTAGTTGATCAAACAAGTCATCAATCCTAGGCAAAGGATACCTATTCTTGATTGTGACCTTGTTCAGTTGACGATAGTCAATGCACATTCGAAGTGTCCCATCTTTCTTTTTCACAAAAAGAACCGGTGCTTTCCACGGGGAGTGGCTTGGTCTAATGAAACCATTATCCAAAAGCTCTTGCAAATGGGTTTTCAACTCGTTAAGTTCAGCGGGTGCCATACGATATGGCGGTATGGAGATTGGTTTGGTGCCGGACTCGACCTCGATCACAAATTCAATCTCCCTATCAGGTGGAAGCCCCGGCAGGTCCTTTGGGAAGACATCCGGGTACTTACCAACCACCCTCACATCGTCGATGTTCGATTCCTCCTTGGTCTTGTCAACCACGTATGCTAGATAAGCGTGGCATCCCTTTCTCATCATACTTCTCGCCCTCACAGCGGATATGATACAGCTGTTTGATTTGCCTCGGTCCCCCTCGAAGCGTAGGGTATCCCCATCGTTGCCTTCGAGTTCCAAGACCTTTGTGTAGCAATCTACCCTAGCATGATGCTTTTCTAGCCAATCCATCCCTAGGATTGCATCGAACTCCATCATACTCAGCGGTACGAAATCACACGTCAAGGTTTGGCCACCGATTTCCACCACACAAGATGGATAGTACTTGGTTCTTTCAACGTCTTCCCCTAGTGGTGTTGATACCACTAAGGTTTGCGTCATTGATATTGATTGTATCTCTAAGCCCCCGGCGAACGCCTTACTTACGAATGAACGTTGCGCTCCGGTATCGATAAGGATCCTCGCGCACCTACCATTGATCTTTAATGTTCTTACATGTATACACCATGTGAGATACCTTTTCTAATGTTTTTACACATCATTAGGAGGTTATTAGGTTCATATTAATGTTTGGAATCAAACGGGGGTCCAAACGTAGAAGAACGGAGCGAAAAATTAAGTTTTTCGGTTGCCGGGGGTTCACGCACGGCGTGCCTGGGTAGCACGCACGGCCGTGCGTGCATAGGAGTCCCCATGCTCGCCACTGCCTCCCAGGCACGGTGCCACGCACGGCGTGCCTGCAACCGTGCCTGGCCAGATTTCCTCGGAGAGGCCACTGCCTTCCAGGCACGGTGCCACGCACGGCGTGCCTGCGACCGTGCCTGGCCGGAATCCCTCCGCGAGGCCACTGCCTCCCAGGCACGGTGCCACGCACGGCGTGCCTGAGGGCGTGCCTGGCCGGCAGTGGCCGTTTCCAGCCTGATTCGTCCTAACTCACCCGGTTTGGCCCCGGGGTGGCCCGCACCCAATCCTAACGACGTACATGATCAAAGTAAGCCTAAAAATGCCCAAAATAAGTGTATTACCTGCGACGGAGTCGGGATTAGCCCGAGCATCTGCCTCGGTCATTGCGTACACTCTCGCTTGAGTCCTTCCTTGATTCACGGACGGCGCGTTGCTTGCGCTTGCTCCCCCTTGCCCCCTGGACGCTTGTGAAGTCCCGGCTTGATTCCATGTCCCGGTATTACCACTACTTGGCCCTGATGCCCTTGTCCCGCCCAGTTGTGGGCAACTCATCTTCATGTGTCCGGTGCTCCCGCATTGGTAGCATCTAGGAGGGTCACGGCATTTCCCCGGGTGGTTCCTCTTGCAATTCTTGCAACGAGTCACCCCCGAGGCTTGTGATTGCCTGCCCGGGCCTTGACTTCCCCTAGATGGCGGTGGGGGTGTCCGAAAAGATCCCCCTCCCCCATGGTTCCCCTTTTTGCTAGGACCTTGAGGTCCAAGGTTCTCCCACTTTCTCTTCTTCGCCTCTTCGGCATTTTTCAACTTCCTCTCTTCCCATTCTTTCTCTCCTTTTAACCCTTGCTCGACCACTTGGCTAAAGGTCATGTTAGGCAACTGTGTTGCCCTCTCACGCACCTCCAGGTCTAAGGCATCCCAGAAGTGATTTACCATCCGGTTCTCGTCACACACATACTCCGGTATGAATTCCGCGAGCTCCCTGAACTTGTGTTCAAGTTGCCTCACCGTCATTTTGCCTCCTTGGGTCAGGAGGGTATACTCTCTCCTCTTAGCGTTCACCTCAAAATCAGAATAGTATTGGGCAAAGAACTCCTGTCGGAAATTCTCCCAAGTCACAGTATTGACATACTTTCCCTTGACTCCGTCCCACCATGTGGATGCCATACCTTCAAGCAATCTCACTGCAACCCTTAGTTTAAATTCGGGGGTGAGTTGCATATCAAGGGCTGCTTCGTTCAACCTCTTGATCCATTCCGCGGCGACCGAGATGTCGCCTGCTCCGTTGAAGGGTTTGCACCCCAAATCTCGTGCCTCTTTGATGTACTTGGAGATCCTTATGATTGGACCTCCATCACCCCGGCCCCCATGTGGTTCAACGTGGGCCCGAGAATCGCCATGGCTTCTTCCTCTTGAAGCCTCACCCGAAATTCGCCCTCCCCGGCGCCTTCGGCGTTCCCTCCTTTCCTCGCGCTCCCGTTGATATTGTTGGAGCAGCGCCTCAATTCTTGCTAGGGAGTCATTCTCCCCCTCTTCATCACTTACATCATCGTCATCCCCTTCGTAAGGGGTCTCAACCGGCTCGATTTCCGGTTGGTAAGTCGAGTCCTCATAGGACAAGTAGGTTTCACTTTCTGTGTCAACATGACCGTCACTCACGGTCTGTGACCGGCCTCCATGGCCAGCTCCTCTAGATGCCCTAGAGGTCCTTCGACTGCCCTGTCCAGTCTCCACTGGTACACGGCCGGTCGGGTTTCTCCTAGTAATCCTGCCACCACGGTCCATTTCTGAAAGAAGTTTGGAAAGAGTCATTAGACTCGTATCAAATGTCAATTGACGGATAGGTACTTAAGACACATTTTGGCTCGAGTCGCCGCCATACCAATTGCTAAGGGTACCATCTTAACAATTAGAGACCTTGCAACCCAAGTACCAAAAGCTCTCCAAGTACAAAACTTCTATGCTCATGGTTTTCAAAATCTTTTCAAAAAGAGAATTTTGAGACTTCATTATGAAGTTTATGGACTAAGGCTCTGATACCAACTTAATTGTCACGCCCCGGACCTCCCCGGACACGTCAACAACCCGCCGTACAATACGAATAGTCAACCGCAGTCCAACACATTCATATTATACAAGGCGTCCCGAATATCATTCACACGTAAGCCATCCATAAACAAACATAATAAGTAATCGAATACATAGCGGAAAACATAGTTTGAAAACAAATGCCACACGTGGCTAACATGAGCACGCAGGCTCTATAGTAAAATATCCATGAGCATGTTTATAATTGTTTAAAACTGAATGGAGGAAGCACGAACCAAGTCTTCCCTCCTAGATGATCCCTCGAGCAACGGGCACAGGAAGCAAGCTCTAACCTCAACCTGAAAAATGGTGGTGGGACGCCCCCGAAGGGGTCAGCACTCTATACGGCTATAAAGTGCTGGTGTGGATGGCATCTAATAGATATACAACAAGTATTTCAAACACAAGACCCTCAAATAGGGTGATAGTATAATCTAGGCCGTAACCCCAAGTTACCCCTTTTTAAAAATATACTTACTTTATATATAAAGTCAAGTAGTCGGCCCGTAGGCCCAAGGTTTGTTTATCAAACATATCCCAAAATCCCGTGACCCCTAGTCACAACAATACATAGGGTTCAACCCTAACGCGTATGTTTGCATTCTCGAGTCCAACTCGACTACATCACCATGCACCTTAATTAACATAAGCTAACTACTCCACCGTGCATTTCTCGAGTCCAACTCGACTACATCACCATGCACCTTAATTAACATAAGCTAACTACTCCACCGTGCATTTCTCGAGTCCAACTCGACTACATCACCATGCACAACAATCACCTCATCATGTCTACCCAATGCAATTCTATGAGCACGGGCTCAAGTACATCTCCTTACATTGGCATAGACCCCAATTCCTAAGCACTCACTATGCCTAGAATTGTAATATCAATAATCTATTTTGGGACATCCCTACGGACTGCCCAACCATGGTCTTAGCATCACATTACATCAAATTTGTCACTTGCGTCACAATCAAGTACATCAAATATAATCAAATCCTTAGATTCAATTCCCTTAACAATTACAACAATCATTAACTAGTATTTCAATACTATTAAGATTATTCTTATCCATCATATATTCCATTTGTAAAACCCTACATATTTAGAGATATGTAGCAGCAACTTAATCATTCAATGTAATACATAAATAATCATTTATGTATCTACACAATTCACACATGAGTAAAATACCTATTTCACACAATAGTTCATTTAACTCCATTTTTGTCTATACTTTACCAAATCATTTCCCATTTCATTCTTTGGAAAATAGATCAATATTCCATCAATAATTTATCATCATAATCCATGGAAAACATTATTTAGGCATTTAGGTAATCTCATGCTTAACCTACAAGTTGTAAGCAACTAGATGTCGATCCTCACCTCAAATGAGCTTTAAAACTTTCCTTCTCGATCCAATGACCAAAGCCTCGGCTAAGGAAGATTGGGAACTAGTTCCTTACTTGAAAATGGGTGCTAAACAGCCTCCTCAAGTTGCTATTTCAAATCCGAATCGTTGATACGAAAACAGCCCCTAGAACGGGTGTTTTCCGGCTAACTCGATTCCTAGTTTTCCAATATTTGCATCTAGGTTAGTATCTAACCTTTACATCAACAAAATAACTTTATAAGGACATATTATACACTTGGATTAGTGTATAATAGTCCCACCAATCGTTCATATCATTTGGAGAATGAAAAGTAAAGTTTTGGGGGTTAAAACTCACTTTAGAAGAGTAGATCCGTCTCTGCGAGGTTGTGTTTTGCTCGGACGATTTGGAAGCCTTCCACTGCTCCGATTGATGCAAACCAGACCTTCACAGATTCCTCGTCTTGAGAGCTTTCTTTGGGTATCTCACACGCCTTAATTGGATTGGTATAACTCTAGATATCAACCAAACAGTCTCAGCACTCTCACAGCTCGAGTTTACAGACCACCACTCACTTCAGCTCGATTCTGGTAAGATAAGCTCTCTCTCCTCGAACAAAGACCACTCAATTGAGATACTAGACTTCAAAGGCTATCCAAGGACACCTTATACACCTCATTTGGTCGAGTACAACTCCCATAATGAGTGGAGACAACCAGCACACAATTTTGTGCGAAAATAGGGATGGTGGCCCAACATTTGATTCCTATCAAGTCTTGTGCATCTCCTCTCCATGGTGGTCGGCCAAGGTAAGTTTCCTAACCCATTTTTATTTGTCTTGCAGGTACTAATATCATGTGGAGTGGTTCCCAATTGATCCCAATCATTTTGGGATCCAAACTACCTACCAATACTTCCAAAAATGGGGAAAATGGGTCCTATTGTTTTATCTTTGTCAAAAGATGTCTTTTTGTACTCATCCTAATTTATTTAGAACAAGTCAACTTCCTAAATCACATTATTGATCTCCAATATGTGTAGGCTCATCCCAATTATTTACATGATGGACATTATAGAAGGACAATCATATTCCCATTATTTAGCTCAATAATGTCAAAGATGGGATCATAGGCATTTGTATTCATCTCAAATCATCCTATCACTTATTTTGACATTTGTTATCCATATTATCGGGCTACTAGCCGTGTGGGTCGCCCCCGAGTGGGCCTACGACGCCGTCCTCGAATACTTGCTATTTTAGCGGGTTGGGCCCAAAATAATATCTGGGCTGCCCGCCCTTCTTCAACTTGTCCTGAAACGTTATGTATCGCTACTTAGATAATGTTAGGCTCTTTTATTTATTAATAAGGCCCAAATGAGTATTCACAAGCCCGACACTAATATGCGAGTTCGGACGGTATAATAATCGATCATTAATTACGTAAAATCATCAATCATTTACAATTGTTTGGGAATCAGAAATTCAATACGTAAACTTTGAATTTTTAACTTGAATTTTTTTCAAGGACGTTCGGGTGCAGTGTCACAGGTGGGGTAAGGGGTATGGTCGGGGTGGGTGGTAAGGTCTAGGGGTAGGGGTTGGGTGGGTGGGTCCGGGACCAGGGTGGGGCCGAGGTAGGGAAGGGGTAGGGTAGGGTGGGGGTAGGATGGCGGTAGTGGTTGGGGTTGGGGTTGGGGTAAGGTAGGGGTAGGGTAGGGAGTTGGGATAGGATGGCGGGTAGGGTGTTCCCGGGATCCGGGTGGGGCCGAGGTAGGGGAAGGGTAGGGTGGGGGGGTAGGATGGCGGTACGAGGGTGGTGTAGGATGGTGGTGGGGTGGGGCCGAGGTAGGGGGCATGTGGTAAGGGGTAAGGTAGGGGTAAGGGGTAATATACGAGGGGTGGTGTAGGGTAGGGTGGGTCTGGGTGGGGTCGAGGTGGTAGGGGGGTGGCGGTACGGTAGGGTGGATCGGGATGTGGCCGAGGTAGGGGCATGTGGTAGGGGGTGGGATAGGGTCATTATAGGGAAAAATGAGTAGGCGTGGTGGGGGTAGGGTGGGTAGGGTAGGTAGGGGTAAGGGGTAAGGTACGAGGATGGAGGTACTAGAATGGAATCGACATCGGAGCGGGACCGGACCCACCACTAGGTGTAAGTATGCAAATTCATTGCAGCGGCACTGTAGCATCTGCGTTTTCTAAATTTGGAAAACTAGTAAAAGTCATTTCTCCAAATCATTAAGGAAAAGAGAGACATGTCTCTTTTTTTTCGTTTTGGAAAACGATTTGGTAAACGCGTTTTTCTTTTTTCCTTTCTCCAGTTTTCCAGCAATTTCCTTGGTAAACGCGTTTCCTGTTTTCTGTTTTCCAGTTTTCCAGTTTTCTGGAAAACTGGAAAATATCCCTGTTAGTAAACAGGCTCTAAAATTTTGTTAGTCATGTTAAAGAGTAATAATTAGGTATGGGTCAATTTTAATTTATTTGATTATTCTCTTTTTACCTTATTGAGTTATTGGTATATATATTGACACGTACTCGATCGTCTACTTGAGGTCAATGTCTAAAACAATTGAAATACATATGCAATAATTTTTTATATGTTGGGAGAATTATACCCCTTATTATTGTTTTTAGACAATAAAGATTAGGGAAAAGTACGGATCGGAAAAGGTACTTGTGGTTGGGCCCGTTTTCAGATGTGTTCATGTGTATCATTCTTTATGAAAGTAGTTCATGTGTTTGAATTCCGTTATTACAAGAGCGTCACGCCGTTAAAAACGTCTGAAAAGACCTTTAAAAATAACTCTGACTTTCAAAAGTGTCCGAAAAATTAAAAGAAAAATACCAGAAGGCGCGCCTCAATAAGACGATCGCTAGGCCATCTTTTTTTTTTCAACCACCCTTGTCACCAGAAAGTCCACCGGAAAAGTGATATTAGCGAAATCACTTTTAAAAAATAATTCAAACAGATCTGAAAATTCCAAAGGCAAAGGTGGTTTGGAGATCATCTTGACGAGGAACACTCTTCGGTATTTTTCTTTTAATTTTACGGGCACTTTTGAAAATCGGAGTTACTTTTAACGGTCTTTTTAAGACATTTTTAACGGTGTTACCCTCTTGTGATAACAAAATTCAAACACATGAACCACATTGATAAAGAATAAAACACATGACCCTATCTGTAAACGAACCTAACCACAAGTACCTTTTCCGTACTTTTCCCTAAAAATTACCCCTCTATCCCTTAAAACTTTGCCAACTTTCCTTTTTTGGGATATCCCACTAACTTTGTCACTTTCCCTTTTAAGTAAATAATTTGTTGTTCCAGTTAATTCTCTCTCCTCTGCACAAACCTCAACCACACAGTTTTTATTTTATTAATCCCCGTGACGGTCAAATTTGGCAAAGTATAATCAACCAGGTCAATGGGCGGCAATAGGGGTTGGTACGTCAATCTAGGCTCTAATCCACTCCAAAATTCAACAATGCTTAGTTTTTAGTATAAAAACTTATGTAATTTTTTTTTTCAAATACCGGCACAATCACCCAGAGGCTCTGGCTCCCCCTGAAGAGATATATAGATTTAGTGAGTTAACTATGTTATCATAAATGTGTTGGCCAGATTCGATTGGAGTTGTGTTATTATAAATTATGCACTTTAAAAAGTAAGAAGAATAAGACATAAAAATTACGAGTATAAGTTTAGTGCGTGCGCATGTTTGCAATGTAAAAAAATCTTTTGACCTTTAGAATATATGGTGCACTATAGCTGTGCTTTATTTCTCAAATTGTGTATTTTTACTAAATTTATCCCATATTAATTTTTGTATGTATGACTTTGGTGTTATACTACCTCCGTTCTCTTTTAGTTGCAATATTGGACTTTTTGCACTATTCACATATTCTACTTTGACTATATTTTATTAATTAATGTATTATAAATTAAATTTTTAAAAAATATTGTTAAATTCCTCTCATTCTAAATTTTCAAAATATGAATTTTTTATTTTTTTAACTAATCAGGAATGAAAGATATTAATAGTCAAACTTGTGCGTTGGCAAACGTGAAATGTTGACTGTTGCAATTAATATGGAACGGAGGAAGTATATAATACGGAGTATACATGAATAAAACGTGCTCTCCACCTTTTGTATTTAAAAATTGAAATGAGTGTTTTTAAGCGTCACTTTCCGCTTTAATTAAGAATTTAAAAGCTAATAACTAGAAGTAGGTGGAAAAGTGTTTTAAGCGGCTTTTCACTTTTTTTATTATACAAAAGTATATTTTATCAAACATTACCAACTTTTACTTTTCAAAAAATATTGGTTTTCAAATATTATGAGCTTTTACCATTGAGTACATTTTCTAAAATCACTTGTAAAAAAAATTAAAATAAAAGCAATCACAAACACTCCATAGTCCTAAAGACGGCCCTCCACAAACCTCAACACACTGTTTTTATTTTTCTTATATATCTTGCACCCAACACAAAGTTGACAATGTCCAATGGAATAAAGATAGTAAACTTCCAAGTCCCTCAATGATTCTCAACTTTTTGAAGTTTTCACTACACATCATGTAGCATCATAAATTGCAGAGTATCAGGTGTTACTTACTAGTGAGAATGAGGTTCCTCAAGGGAGAAGTCATGAGTTCAATTTCAAGCAGAAATTCGGACCAAAACATTCTCTCTCTACTAGTCTATGAGTTAGACTCAACTTATTATTAAATTTCTTGTAAAATTTTAATTCAATAATGCAAGAATTTACCCTAGGAATGCATGAAAAGTGATTTTTTCACCACACGTTAATAACATGTGTTGGAATAGGGATTTATCAACAGTATATCATAAAGATTTCTTCCAATCTTTATAAGGAAAATTTAGATCATATAAGGAGGAAGATACAAATCAGACCAAAAAAATATATTAGTTCAGATGAGAAAGATCACTATCACAAAAACAAGGGATTGACAGAGACTTTGGCAGGGATTATGCAAAATCCGTATAAAAAAACACTTTGGATCGAGCTATTTGACACGAAAAGTCGGTAATCCGTGCCAAATTCTGTGTCAATCTCGTGTTTTTTTTGTAGTGAGATTTAAATCAATTAGATTATAAGCATATAATCAGATTAGATATTTAAAAGTTTAGATAAATGAGAAACACTTGGATCAAATGAAAGGACAACATTTATATTTTCCCAATAAATATAACAAATCAGTTTTATAGTCTTGAGTTCAAGACTACCTCCATTTTAAAAACTTTAACACTTCTTAGTTTTTTAATGAGGTTTTCACCTTTTAGTTATATCACAAACTATGACATTTTTACTTAGCTTTTAAATAATTAGCTTTTGATTCTAATTATTTATCTTTTTTATACAAATCTCAATCACACATATTTTAATTTTTATTATTTCATGTACTGATCAAATTAAACTTTATCGAAGTTATAATTAAAAAATATAGAGATTGAGTCATTGATTTGTAGCTAGCCAGCAATTTGTTTAGTTGTTTTAGATCTTATACTTTTGACTTCATAGCTTTCAACTTTAAAAAAACGCCCTTTCTACCACCTTCGTCTCAATTTGTTTGGCAAAGCTAACATTCTTTTGTCAACTAAT